AAGTGGAGCTGGCTGGAAATGAGTGTGGCACACAGAGCATTGGTGTGTGAGTGAAGTGGGCAGGTTGTGAGCAGCATTCCATGGAACTACACCCCATACATGTCTTCTGGCTAATACAGAAGGCAGCAGTGTATTTTGACAGCCAGCTGTAAGATCCATCTAGCCCTATGTACAATCTGCATTAGCAAACACTGTCTCCCTTTCTTCCAGGGTTTGTTATTTCCAAATGGACTACAGTTCCTTTTATTTTTAACATTAGTCCTTTCCATAGAATCATAGAATCACCAAGATTAGAAAAGTCCTTCAAGAGGTCCATTTCTACTCAGGTAGACAGGCAGAGCTCTGCAGATAGAGAACATCTCCTCAGCCCTGTCTAGGCCAACCATAATCTGAATTTATAGGCTGCAGTTGTAGTACACATTGAAGATTCAGCAGATGAGAAGAGGCAGATACAATCAGAGAAGTGAAGTAGCTGTTTTAGAGTATGACTTACTGAATTCCAAAGTAGTCATCTAGAATCAGGTCAGAGGAATTGTTCCTAAAAAGTGCCTATTACTGGGAAGAGGCTCTGGTAATCAATCCTCATACAGAATAGTTGATCAGATAGATGTCTCAGGTTGTTGAGAGGAGTCCCATCTCAGACTTCTTCCCACCTGCCTTAGATTGAGGCCATGGATGGTGCACACAAAGCTGTATTCCTTCAGGTTAAAGTGAACAGCAGTGTTGCACCCTGTGTTCCAGTGCTGGCCTCTTAAGGCCACTATGTTCTCTAGTAACTGTGGTGAAATGGCAGAGGGTCTGGGTTCAGTATTAAGGGACTTGAGCCCCTACAGCTCCTATGCTGACTTCAGCTTGGCCGGTGTATATGAACACATGCCAGATGTTGCTGGACACAGACATTCCTCAGTGCGAATACTGCAGGGCCATAGAGACAAATTCACTGCCCTGCAGCGTATTTGAGTATTGAAGATTTACTTAACATTCTTTCCTGACTTTCTGGAAGAAAAGCCATTCTACATGAGAGTAGCACTGATCCAGCGTGACGACTTCTGCAGTGAGCTGTCACTGTCTAACTGGTGGAGCTACCCTGAGAATGGGTACATGCATTCCTAGGAGAAGATCCACCGGTGAAGTGAATTTTATTTGCTGAGCTTGTTCATATAAAGTAACAGCATGACAAACACCCAGAAGATAAAGAAATCAGACTCATGCTGATGGTTCCCTAGCTAAAGATTGCTAATCCCACAAGGCCATTGTTTGAGGATGAGAATTTACTGCAAAGCTGAGCCAACTTTGCTTTCCGTGAACAAACAGCATGACTATGCTCCAGTCCTTTCTCACTTCAAAGATTTATACAAAAGGAGAAATTTTGCCTTTCTTCTGCCCATGTGAACCAGAGCAAAATGCCTCCTTTCCTGTCTAAAGCATAGCAACCTTTATCTGAACCCCTGATACCTTTGCTTTCCTTTGACCTCTTTGCTGCCTGGGTCTCCGCTCTTTACTTAGGTTCCTGCCTTTTGCTGTGCAGCTCATGTTGTGAGGTACAGTTTCACTGTCCTCCTCTGATCTCAGAACACTCCTGTAAAATCAATCAAACAACCCCTCATTCCTTCATCGCAAAGAGGAGGCAGGGAATGAATTTCACCCACAATCAAGTGACCAGCGCTTTAGAAAGCCACCCAAGAAGCTAATTCAGAGATGAGAACTAACAGCACTCCCATCTCATTGTCAGTTGTCCTACCTCCCCTGCAAGACACATGGCACTCCCTCTTGCTTTCATGTACAGCTTTAAAACCATATAAATAGATACTAGCAAAGTCTCATAAAATAGTAGTGCACAACTGCCATGGTCCAGTTCACAGCTGCCCAAGCAACCGGGATTGCTTCCTAGATTCCTGTGTTGTTCTCAGTGGAAAGATCCAGAGAAGCACTAGATGACAACAAAAAGAGAGGCTACAGTTAGTTATGCAAGTGTCTGAGGGCAGTAGCCTTGCTCTCTGAACTAATGCTAAGGATGTCCTTATAAAACCCTCCTTTGATAGCACTGTGAAATTTTCGGTCTTCAATTACAGAAGAGAGTGAAGACACCAGACGTCAGTGCTCAGCAATACCAAACTCAAAGGAAATGTGTGACAAAAGACAAAGCTTTAACAGTGCTCCAGAGATTTTAGGAAGGGAGGAGAATTTCACTCTGTGAAGCTTGTGGAATTTCTTATTTGCATCAAGGTTCTTCCAAGAAACCTTGATTCAAAAGGTGTATTTTGGCTTAAATGCATATTTAGTGTAATCTCAATGGCAGGCATGTTGCCCATCAACAGTGCTGCAGGCAAGTTAAGGCTAAAATCAATCTGATAGTCACATAAAAGGTGAAAATTGTTCCTGCATAGGTTCTCCTCTTCACAAACTACCATTTACTGTTCTTGCCTGAGGCCTCATGTCTTCAGTTGTTACCCAGTGTGGTTGATTTGTACATTTACTTAGATTTGAAGAAAAAACCCACATGATTACTAAATCCTGATACAGTTTTCTCTGCAAAGAACATCTGGCACATCTAGTTACTTGAATTACTCTTTCCCCAGTTGGGACTCCTGGCTCCAAGCTAAGCTCTCCTTGCTGCAGTTCTTGAGACATGCAATGCGAGGAATGTACCTACAGGCACAGGTAGCCCTTTACCAATGATGCAGTAGGTTTCATGGACACCCGATTCCTTAAAAATTATCACATTTCTAACTCTTTAAGGAATAGCATTACTTATCTCTGCTTTCCACATCATGGTGGCAGGTCATTTTTGTTTATGATCTGGGCATGGATGGTTTTGTAAGCCACTGTGCACCCCTGGACTATCAAAACTGGTTGCTCTCTTCACAACCTTTTCTCCAGTCCTGGCATTAGTTCTGAAGCCAGAAGTCAAACCACTGGGTGAAAGATATGTGAGGCTTTTCCAATTTCATCCAGCTGCTCAGGATCAGTTTCTTCTCCAATTGCCTTCTGCTCAGATCAGATTTGGGGGTGGATGTGGGAACTTATTACATGCTTGGAAGCTTTTTCAGTGTCTTTCTAGCGCATGATATCCTCAGGGAAGGAAAAGCAGTAGAAAAAACAATTTAAGTGAATGCCCATTCCTAACTCATGAGGCATCCGGCCTTCTAATCGTGACAATCCAATCACTACTATCAAAAATAAGAGTATAAATCCAAACTCGGTGTGCTATTTCACACTTTTCTTTTCAACCACTAGACGCTGATTTTTCCCCTGTGGTTTTCTCTTACAGATTTTGATTCCGGAACAGGAGAGGTCACTTATTTTCTAACTGTTATATGGATCCATACTTCTAAGATGTCTTTTGGCTAAGATCCCACTAGAATGACTTGTCCCCATTTTGTTGCCAACTCCCATAGAACAATACAGATGGCAATATTTATGCCCGTTGAGTGGTCTTTGAAATGAGTATGAGAATGATGCTGGAGCTCTGGCTTTCACACCTCACAGCTGTACTCCTGAAATCTGCACTTAGCTCTTGCTCAGTCAGAGACTTCTCTGCTTTCCATGAGACCACTGCCCTAGCAATGAACTCCTCAGTTTGGCCTCTAGGCAAGATGCTTGATATCAGAGCACCTATGTTCTTTATTTTTTATTTATTTTTTTAAATTTGCCTATCAGTCTAATACACTTTCAGAAAAGTTCCTTCAGTTCTGTGCAGGCCTAAACACAGGTCGATCTGGATTGTAAACAGCAGAAATGTTCAGCTCTGGATCTACCCTTACGGTTTGAAACATCCAAAGTGTAGTAGAGAAACCTCTTCCTGTGGGACTCAGCAGACTGGTTCTGGAGTCATGGGGCGCTGTGCAAAAACGGGGATATAATAGAACAAAGAGTCTCTTCTCTTGAGAATCCTTCGTTGTAATTGGAGTTAAATGAATGACAATCACTCTGCAGGAAAAAAGCTGCACTTGGGGGAAGAAATTCAAAAGTAAGTCTTCATTTTTTTATGGGTTCGATGGAATGAATGAGAGTGATGTCAGATGTAATATAATATTGGAGTGGAAAGGCTAACAGAAAAAGACACAGTAACGCTGCACTGGCTAGTTGTAGACATGAGCTATACATTAAAAGTAAGTCAAAACCCCCAACTTAATTTTGTACATATGCTATCCCACCCCCAGCCTCTCTTGGGGTGTCTTAAAGTTGCAAGGGCAGATTTGTCTTCTCAGAAAATATCTCCCTCGAGGGCAAAGATGCCATATACAGAAGAGCGCCAACAGCTTTCTAGCATTACCTAACACAAACAGCTGCTGCAAAAACCACAGATGAAAAGAAATTCTCCCAAACTGGCATAATTTTCATTAAAATCTTCTACTCCAGTCTGTGAGTATGTTTTACACACATGCAGAAGCCAGACTGGTCACTAGAGATTATTCATTACACCACATTGTAGTTGAACCCGGAAATCGATCAATGATGACGTTATAAGAGGATTTATTTGGTCCCTGATACAGTGCACAGATCAGGCACAATCCAGGAGAAATGGCTGGCTTGGTGAAGAAGTGAGTGCCCTCCCTTCAGTTGGCTGTGCCAGCAGAAAGAAATCTTCGTCCCATGGTCCTGCCCAGCTCAGACTTTCCAAAACTCATAAATAAAACCACCAATCCATGAAAGACATAACATCTGATCTTCACTTTATACTAGTGTTGATATTATTACTGCTAATTTACACTTGTGTCAGAGGAGTTTACAAGGATGAGGAGATCACAAGGAACTTCCATAAAGTGTTTGCTTGTCTACAGGTGTGACAAATGGACAGACCTGCTTCTTGGCTTCTAGGAAACAGTTCATCCATACCTATATTGGTACCTGGGCTGGGCTGTCAGCACCTGGTCTAGCTGTGGGTGTACCTGTTCATTATAGGGGAGCTGGACTAGATGACCTTTAAAAGTCCCTTCCAAGTCAAACAGTTCTATGATTCCATGACCCGTGGGACGAGTTTGCTGTCATGCACTTACCTGACACAAAAGTGCAAAACAACTGGTCCTGACTTTTTGGGGAAGTCATGTTCCAGCACCCTGCGGTCCAGCTGAAGCCAGTTCAAGTGTCCCCTGGCAAGAAAAGAGACAGATGTGAGCCCACCACCAGAGACACTTCTTGCTGCTCTTTGCAGTGAGGTCCAGGGTGTTACAAAAGATGAACTGGAGTACATGCTGTTTGCCCTTGGCTACTGTATGATATTTGGAAAACACACAGCAAATGTTTGAGGAATAGAGGCAATAGCATCCTGGCAACATTTCAGTCTGAGAACTGAACAGCTAAAGTTCAATCTGTCAGAATGAAAGCTGGCAGCATCGACCAGGCAGGACAGCCCAAAATGTTATGAGCTTCACCTTTTTATTACAACCCCCCTGAGCAGCTGTATCATTAAAAGTCTGTCAAGATTTTCATTAGAAATCCTTACCGTTAAGAGTTTCCACAATGCCTGCAATATTTCACTCAAGGCTAAATCTGTCTGTATACAGACCCAGACAGTTTATTTACCACCCACATGCTTTCTGTAGCCTCTCTAGGTTAGCCCAGCTTTTGCTTTTCCTCCTTCAGAGAGCTTCTGAAAAACAGCTGCTCCACAAAGTTTTCCAGCTCCAATTACCACATGCTGCTCTTCTTTTGCCTAGATGATACCTGTCGCTGTTATTTTCTCCTACAATTTATCCATCTGTGCCTTGCAGCTGGAAGCTTTCCTGGGCAGCAGCTCTGTTCTTTGTCATGTTCCACGCATTGTAAAGTGCTGTGTGTGTGTGAGCAGTATTTTGTAAACACCATTATTTGTATTAAAGGGGCATCTCATTCCCCAGCTGAGGAAAAGACCCTCTTAAATTAGGTGCTGTGGAAATACATTAGGGTGAAATTCAGGACCCACTGAAGTCAGCAGGAATTGTGCTGCTGCCTTCAGTGATGCTGGGGCTGCATCCTGCAAGCATTTTGCTATTGATTTCAGTCAGACCAGATTTCACCCAGAGGGAGAAGCAGCCCATGCCTTCAGCACTCTGCTGTCTAGACAAGCGAGAGGAGAGAGAATTGAAGCAATTTTGGGGAGAATCATGCAGCAAATAAAGCAGGAAATGGAATTCAGATGTCCTGAGCTCTATTCCATGGCCTGTCTGCCAGCTCATGCTAATCCTCAAGATTCATTCTTCATTCCACCAAAATAAAAAAATAGAGGCTTCATTAAAGAAAAAAAAAAAGTGTTAAATTAAGTGCCAGTGATTCCACAAGTGTTAGTAACATTCCCTGTCAGCAAACACACTCAGCTTTCCCAAGGGTCTGCTCATTGCTCCTTAGCAGCAGTGTGTACTTTGGGCAATGTGAAACGCCCCTAGAAGTTAAGCAGTGACAGCCTTTTAGCAATGCAACCAGATTTCTTCTACAAAAAAAAAAAAAAAAAAAAAAAAAAAAGGGAAAGTAGGAGGCTTTGGATCACCTGGGTTCCATCTGAATTTCTATAAAGCTGCTCTGGCTTACACTAATGCAGAAGAGGGTGGGCAGTGCAGGGACCAGGCAGATCTGGGCTGGAGACCACTGAGACATCACCTGTGCCCTGCTTGGTGCTGCCCTACAGAGCCTGTTCTGTGTTCACACCCTCTGGTGAAGTACCTTTTCCTAACACTCACCCGACCCTTCCTGATAGCAGCTCCGTGCTGTTCCCTTGGGTCCTGAAGACTCATGTCCCCCTAAGGGGACTCAGGAAGTGTGAAATTAATTGTGAAGGCTGCACTACACATGGAGACAGGAACTATCCATGCTCACCTGCTCCTACCCAAAGTCCAGACTGATTATCTATCTAGGCCATCTGCCTATGTAGGCCAAGGTGTGACACACTGTCAGAGCAAGGGGACAACACTCTAAGACTGACATCCTATCCTGAACCTGTCCATCTGCATTTGTATCACCAAAGCAGCAGCTAGCAGTGGCTGATGGCATTACAAATAGGTTCCTACTGAGACAAATTTGTTGACAATGGGCATACTGTTCAACAACAGAAGTGTCTGGGTTTTCCTAACACGTGCAACAAGGTATTGAGACACCACGGTGCACAAAGCAAGTTCCCTTCAAAATATTCTGTATTTTGAAAAAAAAACCAAAACTTGTTCTTTTCAATCTCACTGCATTTTAAAGTGAGTGATACAGCCAATACAAAAAGAATATATGCATATGCATCGACATACCCGGTTACACATGCGTGTCCACTGAGTTTTTGGGTTTCATTACTCTCTGCTGCAAGGAGCATAAATCTAAAGCTCCTTCAGAGGAGGAAAGTCACTTAAATCACTGCCAGGAGCTAATTGCTCACTGTACTCAATTACCACTTACAAGCTTTCATCACTAAGGGCTTCTGCACTGCATACTGTCATCCAACTCCTTGTTTTCTAGCATCCGTGTGTGCCACATACAGAACAGCAGCAGTGAACAGTCACTGGCATCTGTGAATGTGGTCTATCAGGGAGCCAAACTCCAGCGCTTTAACACCGCAAAACACTTTGCTCTGGAAGCTGTCTTGCTGTCTTCAGCAGGACTATTCACGGAGCACAGTCCCAAGTAAGACATGGAAAAGTGTGGCATATAACCCTAGGTATGTATTAATCCCAGCAGTTCTCACAGACCAATTTAGGCAGCTTGCTTTTGGATCCCATTCATGCATGCCTGTTTCTGGTTGAATTTCCCTTACAGTTCAATTTAGAGCCACAAAATAGCTTTTGTTTCATTATCTCCATTGATTTGTTCATTTAGGTATTTATGTCAGTGTATTCACAAACAATGGTGCAAACAGTTTTGCGTGACCTCTAAGGAGGTTGAATATTGGAAGCCCTATCATTTTTCTCTGTTGTTTGTCTTGGCAGTTAAACTGATGTGTCAATTATAAAAACATAATTGTTTTTAGAAACAGTAACCGGGTCCATTTAGGTTATAGAGTAAGTATGGATTTTGGTGCCCAAGGTTTGTATTGTCAGTTGCAGGCAGTAGTTTCTGTTTTCTTTTGTCAGAGCTTTCAAAAAGGAGCAGTGCATCAATGAATACTTTGCCTCCAGGTGGATCTGTTTATAAAGTTTTACTGGTTCATGTCCAGTTTCCTGCAAAGGGAATCTATATAAATTTGTGTTGCAAAGACACTTGGAATAAATACAGCACCTCACACCCCTTTAGTGTCAAACTCATGCTGAACTGAATGGATATTGAAAAAGACCAAATCAAGTAATAGAAACCGTATATGCTATTTTCCATTTCCATCAGTAACTACAGAAACAAAACCCAACAACTATACGTTCACAGGTTTTCTCATTTAAGGTCTTGATCTTTCAACAGAAATATTTTTCTGAAGGAGCTGCAGAGCTCGGGGAGCTATGTGAGGTTAACTATACAGACCAGGCAAACAATGGGCTCAGTGACAATGGAAATGGTCCCATGCCAGAGCAGGACATCATTCCAAGAGCTCCACCACCCACTGGGAAGTCTGCTTAGCCTGGCCTTGGGACACTTGCTCCCTAGTTCTCGCTTTGCTGTATTGCTGGAGGGTGGAAACAGGTTTTTCTCCCAAATCCTGGAGATGTGGTGCCCTGCTGTTCCTCTTCTCATATTCTTCCCTTGCTGTCTCCTAGGACATAGAATCCTCAGTGGAGTAAGGGCACTCTCTGGTGTTATCAAGTTACTGCAGTCTCTAGCACAAGTCTAACACAAATAGTTAAGGCCTCAGTCCTGTTTTGTTCTGGCAAAGGAAGGACAGACATCAGCAAAATGATTTTCAGCAGCCAAATGCATAGCAGGGGGAGCAGTGCAGTGCAGAAGCTGATAGTTCTCTGTGATGCAGGTGACATGTCTAAGGATGAGCAAAGGACATGGCAGACTTGTCCCTAGCCCAGAGGGGCCTTCTGAGGTGAACAGAAGGGGAACTTGCTGTGACTTGCTCTGACTTGTTCTCTTGGAATGCTGGAAGAGCTGGTGCCAAGGGAAAGGGCAGCTAGCAGAGATTTGCACTCAGCTGAATTAGAAAAAGGCTTGTTCCCCACCTCTTTTCACTCTTAATCAACTACTATATAGATCTTCTGGCTTCACTAGAAGCTTGGCCCCACATGCTATTCAAGGACAACCTTTTGACCTGTGCTCTCCCTCAGTTAATGGCTCATGCCATATAAAGCCTTCCTATGATCATTAAAATAGGAGGCGTTATTTTCTCCTCTGTAATAGTCTGACAATCTAATTTTAGTCACACTGAACGCAGTAATGACCCTATATTATCACAAGAAACTATTAAGTCGCCAACGCAAAGGTTGTTCCTATTGATTTTCTTCTCAGGTTGTCATGATAGAGCACAACTAATGAATGGAAATCCCCAGTACAAATCATTTCTAAATAAATTACTCTTATAGAGCTTTTACTCTTAAATAGAAGAATTGATTTAATACTTTAGTGGCTTTTCTTCTTCCTGAACTCACAATGTAGCCAACCCCAGACTGCATTTATGAACCAGGCTTGTCCTGTTTCAGCTGGTTATGGGTCTCTTTCAAGGAAAGAACATGAAAACTCAGCGGAATAGGATGAACAAAGAGAAGAAAATCCCCGAGGGCCTGCGTCACAAAGGTTTCTCTTTGCGCTTCTGGTCTACATCAGGTATAACACTGCATTAGGTACTCTGCAAACAAACAGTAGGAGATCGCTTTCCCAATTTTGAAGAAAGGAATTTCTTTTACTTCCAGGTTAAGATCTGTGGTACATACAGACCAGTATACTTTCTGAAGGTGATGTGGGACATTCTTTTCTAAGACCGACTCCTACGTCCTAAGTACATTTTTTTGCCACGTTCAAATAAAATAATTGCTATATCTTCAAAGCTTTTTACAGTAGAGGAGGAAATATTATGCATTTACGATCTGTGTAAAGTTCCTCCTGCTCCTCCTTTGAGGACAAATCTCACTGATTTGTACTGGGTTGGAGATCTACTACAGGGCTGAGCTGCTCATGTCAGTGAGATGGCATCATCCTTGGGCTCTCCTGTGATTTGGGTCCTGCTTCTGCATGTGTCTGACACCGAGCATCCTTCCACACAACAAACCGTGTCCTGAGGTGGCCTCAGGCTGCCCAAGGCAGGTGCTTGCCAAAGGGACTGTCTCTAGAGGGGTGATTGCTGCTGAACTCTCTGTGGGTATGCCTGTGCAATTATCCAGCAGCTGGATAATTACTCAATCCAAAATAATTATTCCAGCAGATAATTTAAATTTCTCCACCACCTCAGCAGGAGAGTGGAGATGGCTAATGAGAGCGTTACTGCTGGCTCAGCTGTCCCAGGAACCCCACCCATGGGCTTGACATTCTTGCTTTTTAGGACTGCAAAAGCATGTGGGTCTTCCTCTTGGTTCATCTTACAGAAAATGCTTTTGCAAACTAAGGTGGAGGACAGCGGACAGAATTAGAGAGCACAGCTGTCATGAGAAAAGTCTAACTACAGAGAATAGGCAGCTGGGAAAAGGAACAGGGACTGTGCATAGCACTGAGAGATTATAGTCTAGGACTTGTTGTAGCATTTGCCAGACCTTGAATATTTATCCAGTTCTAATTTTAGACATACTTTTTAAACAAGGTGTTGGTAGAAATGTCTTGTCTTAGGACAAAAGCTCAAGTTCTGTTGTGAACAGCTCTGGGAGCCAAGGTTCTCGGTGAGCAACCAGCACTGCCTGAGGTGGCTGCAGTGACAGAATCAAATTCTGAGGCTTAGCTCAGCCATAAGGCTGTTGGTCAAATTCCCCTTTTTGATGGAAACCTTACTTATAAAAGTGCTTTTAGCCCACGTTAGTGCTGTCAATCCCTTTCTTTCTCAAGCTTTCTTCTTTCTTTTTATTGAGAAATTCTAATCTGGGATCTAAAAGAATTTTAAAAAATTGAATAATTTTGTGAGTTGTTTTTTTTTTTCCTTTCACTTTCCTCAAAATAATTTAGCACTACTTCTAAACCCGCTTGAGTGATCAACACTTTAACTGAAGGTTTTTGCCAATCTGACAAGAACTTAGAATTAGCAAAGGGATCTTAAAGAGGTTAAACTAGACTTCCACCAGTGCCAAAAAGCACCAAGTCTTTACAGATGGGACTAGGAAGGGATTGTTACTCTATACACCTCCAGCAATGCTGAATTCCTACCTTCTAAAGAGATATCGCAGGACAGACTGATTACAGACCCACACCTTCCTAGACCTTGATCTAGGACCTTGGGGTGCTCAGGTCTTCTACTCTGGTCATTTTATTGAGGACCAAACAACAGTGAGATTTGCCCTGATCTGAGAGTTGCCTCTTAAGTCTTTGACTCCTTGCACTTACGTTTCATCTGTGAATGCAATTCCAAAGTATTCTTTCTCCTTCAGGTTGAAATGAGATGCCACCAGGTCAAGCAACTCCTTTGCCAAAAGCTTTGGCTGGAAAACAAAAATGAAAGAAAGTGATTAATGAAGAGAACTTTGATATAAGGTACCATGTTTCTGGATGGACTATCCTTGGATAGTATCTGGATGCTATCCTTGAAGGTACTCCAAGGAAAATAGAAAACAGGTGGTTCTGACCTTGCCAGTGCTCACTGTCTCTGTAGATAGATGAACAGCTGCTTACCAGTGTTCAGACTTACCATGACTTGCTCACATACGCCTCTCTGATAATTTCAGTAGTTAAAGCTTTTTATCAAGAACCACTGCAAACACATTACAAACACCCAGTCTCACACGCACAGCATAGATTGTGACAGGACCAAACGAGAAGCAAATGACAGAACAAAATAGTTTCTCATTCATGATTCAGACAAGATGCTGTCTATATCCAACAGTCATGTACAAGTCCTGGGTCCCACAGCTCTAATGGTCATAGCAGCACTGGCACAGCTGGAGTCAGAGATCCCTGATTTGTAGACCAAATCCTTGCAGGACTCTCAACCTCTCTCCAAAAATGTCTGTAAACCCAGCACTGTTCTGGTATCTGACACAGCAGTAGCTGTGCCTAAATGCAGCACAGGCTTAAAGCAGCCCTCAAATAATATCTAAGATGCTGTGTATAATGAACAGCCTTAGGTAGGATTCAACAAGCTTCACTGTAATTCCCAAATCAGGCTTCCTAGGTAGGACTTGGGAGTTTCTGCTATGTCCTCATTACATGCTGCATTGCCTTTCACAGGCTCTTGTAACTCCTGAATGAAGCAGACCAGGCATGGACCTGTGGTCATGTCCCTTGTCTCCTTGGGTCTCTGCTTTCACAAGTCTTTGATAAGTGTGTAGTTATGATACCAAGCAGGACACTGAGCCACCAGTCAGCTCACCTGAGAGAGCAAGGGTGGGGAAAAGTGAGAAAAAGCATGCCTAAAACACCGAAGCATTTTCCCAAGCTTGGAATAAGAGGTTGGAGAGGGATGGATTGGGCTTTTGTATTTCACAGGAGTGCAGAAAAGAGCAATGAATGGCTGATGTGAAACAAGCTGCTCATGGATATGGAAAAGCGATGGGTCTCTTGGCTTCACCCTGCTAGCACTGACAAAGGAGATGTTGAACGAACAGTAAAATCCTCTCCTGATGTCCAGCCACATCATGGAGCAGCAGCTATGCGGCTGTCCAGGCTACCTTGCCTTCCTCACCACAGCATCCAGCCCCTAGGCATTGAGTTGGGAGCAGGAGCTGGAAGCCCCAGCCTTCAGCCACCCTCCTGTTGGATAAATGCCATGAGCTGCCCCTTCATCTCTGCTGGGCGAGAGCTAGATGCTAAAAAAGCCATGGAGAGATGGTTAGCACTGCATGAGTGCCCTGCCCGGCTGCTCTTAAAATCTTAAAATTAAAAAATAGAATCATTAAGGTTGGAAAAGATCACTAAGATCATCTAGCTCAACCATCAGTTCATCACCATCATGCCCACTTAATCACGTCCTTCTTTTCCCAAAACAACCCTGTTCCCAGGCTGGGCAAGGATACAATCTCCACTGCCCTTGCTGTGAAGATGCATCCCAAGTCTGCAGTGCCAGATAAAGGAGGATAACCCTGTGCCTTGCAAGATAAGGCAGAAGAAGAATAGATGCAGAGCCAGCACTGAATGGTGCCAGGTTATTTACTGGGCCAGCACTCCTGAAGAGGCTTACAGCAGGGAAGTTAAGCCCAGACAGACCCTCCAAGATTACTTTCCACTCTCTTCTTAAGCTCTGCAAGGTTATTGTCCTTTCCAGTGGGATGAGTCCCACATCCCTTCAACACAACACAAGTCTTTGGAGGGAGGGTGGAGGAAGGTATCTTCTCCAGCTAGCAAAGACACCACAAGACAGCCCCTCACAGCAAGGATAAAGGCAGGAAAGCCCAAGCAGACACAAGGCGAGCTGCAGACAGCTACTGTCTCAAAGTTAGCGGTTAATCTGCTTGCTGTTCACAATGGGATCAGCTGAGTGATGACCTCCTTTCATGTCAGCTGCACAGACAAAGAGCTCATTAGCGATGCCTGTGGCAAGTTGTTTTAATTCATTATTAATTTCTAGACTTCACTTTCCAGGGGGATATTCATTTTGCATTAATAAAACTGCCGTCACAGACACATTGAGGAAGATGGGGTCTGGTCTCAGAGAGCAGGGAAATCAATTGGAAGCGGGTGCAGGGCCTTCTTCATTCTATACATCGGGAAGGTTGCAGGCCAGCTTGTGAATCTTACACACATAAATTAGGAATAATGGGTGACTTTCAAACCAGAAGCTGAACTTCTGTGTTCTGTGCTGTAGAGCTGAACCATGGCAAAGAGACCTACCAGGGCATCACTGCTCCTTGCATCCTTTTTACCCAGGCTTTCCTGGCATTCTCCATCTAACCGGCTTCAGAAAAAGAAGTATAGGGAGTGTATTGAAACTGTAGCAGCTGGCCTGAACACCAGCAGAAATCCCGTGGTTGGAGTTGTGAGGGCTGAGTATGGAGGGTGTAGGTTGTCCAAGCAATGTTATTTGGCCAGGGATTTCCCTGCTGCTCTCTCCCACTTTTAGGGCCTTCTCTGAAGGAATGCATATGAAGAACAATGAAAGGGTGCTCTTTCATAGAGGATCAGGATCCCAGTTGTGGTCCCAGCACAGAGGAGCTCTTAGGGATTACAGACAAACTACAGTGGGCAACTCTTCTGTAGAGTCTAACTTGACTTGGGAGCAGTGATCCCTGCCAGTTTTCTTTCTTTCCTCTTCAAAAGTTAAGAGATCAAAGAAATTCTTATTAAGGGGTGTCTCTTTATTAGTAGAATGACCCAATGTTATGCCTGAGAGATTGATTTGAAGTGCTGTGCAATGGTCTGCATTTAAGGCTCGGCAGCAAGGAACTCTTCCATGCGTGTCTGGGCTCTGCAACCACTGCTCCTACAGCCTCACAGCTGCAAAATCATTCCTTCCCTTCTCTCCAGGATAACTTTTGGCTAATAATGTCCAAGAAGAGAGAGCTTTATTGGTGGTGTGGGGAGGTGAAAAGAACTGAACCTCAGTAGCAGCTCTGTATGTCGAAGCTAGACCAAGAACTGCTCTGTAAAAGCACTGCAGATAGTGTGAGGAGGTGCATAAGGGATCAGAGCTCATGGGATCACAGCTCATGCTGCCAGGGCTGCCTCCCTGCATTTCCCTGATGCTTAAGAAGGAGCTTCCCATGTGTCAGGGTTGCAGGCACAGCATGTACTGAAAAGAACTGCACTGAGATGACTCTGGTGCGTGCAACGTGCAAGTTCTGTCTTGATCTCCTTGGATGTATTTTAAGGAGCAATGACAAATTAACCACAAGGGATGGTTTGCTCTTCCATGCACTGCCCTTACCTGGGAGCGATAACTCGTAGGGCTGTCTTTTCACAATTAGACATAAAGGCATCTTCCCAGGATAACAGAATAGCACAGCAAGCACTAAGGGCAGGTGGGGAGAAGAAGGACAGCCCCAAGGAAGGGGAATGGGAAGGTGTGTGAGGTCATTTTTATTCAATGTCAGAAAGAAGAGAGTATCACCACTCTTCCCTGTAGTTATTGGAGGAGTTCTCATCAGTGTGAGCCCTCTAATGTGGGCTGCTGGACCCCTGGGGCAGTGGGCTGAGATCTGAGAGCTGGAGACTTCTGCAGTGCTGGAGAGAGGAAAAGGTGTGAGGTTCTGCTATGTGAGGTGATATGCTGAACTAGGATCAATGAACCCTAATACTAACTGGTGTCACATGGGCTCACTGCTAATAATGTTGTGTTATGGGTCTATGTTAGCCGTAGGATGGAAAGAGGAGGAATTCTGGGGATAGGAATCCTCTTATAACCCAGGAGAAGCTTCTGGGGATGGCTCATCTCATCCTAAAGCAGGCCTAAAGTCCAGGAGAACTTGATGGATTTCCCCACAGCTTCAGCAGCTTGTTCTGCTAGCCATTGTGGGAAATACATCAGAAATACAAGCGTTCCAGTATTAAAGATTCAGTACAGTTAAAAAGCACTGTTACTGGGATTTGAGCAGCCTGAGGAGCTCCAAAGCCGTGTGTTTCCCCAGTGGAGAGGCGGGCAGCCCACTTCTGGCAGAGCAGCATGTTTTTCCCTGACAGCTTCCCATTACGTTTAGAAATGAGTGAGTTATGGAGAGAGATTATCTATCCACAGTCCAGCAGTGCCATGAATAAAAAACAGATGACAGGGTACTAGCAGCTGCTGGTATGTCCCTGGAAACGTGGGCACACACAAAGTATATTTTATTGTTTTATTAACTGTCAAAGAAGCCTATCTGTTCCCTCCCCTGTTTCATCACTTTTCCCTAATTCTCCGTGGCAGAAGCTTTCTGGGAAATGCTCAGTTTCAACATATGGGCAGCCGTGCTGCCCGCATCCATCCGGCATGGAGACACACTGAGCTGTGGGAACCAGGTAACCAGATCATGCTTAGTAATGCCTCGTTTCATTAGATTAAAAAAAATCTGCTGCTGTCCACTGTCTCCTTTGCAGTGCGATACGTAATGGGACCCAGATGCTGCAGTGCTAAAGGATATCTGTAGTACCAAAAAAGCTCATGCTCAGCCCTGGGAGGAGAACTTCCAGTGCTGCAATAAACATCACGGCCCCTCATGGCATTAACAGTGGCATCCTCAAAATCCATGGAGTTGAGGAAGGCATGCATGTGTCAGTGTTGTCTAAAATGCTGGACTTGGTTTTTGGCAGCCTGGAGACAGCTGCTGGAACAAACCTGACATTCCCAGTGATTTTCAATTGGGCTGCGAGGGATATTTTGTGCTAACAACCTTACTGTGCTCATGTACAGGCTCTGGGGCTGCCTTGAATCAGTGGCATTAAGCTGCGAGCATGGCCCAACAGCACCTCAACTTAAAGCTCACTCCAGAGGCAGACACAAGAGAGGCCCATTGTTTGGGAGAAAGAGGAAGCTGACCCCCAGGGGCACATCCCAACTGTGCCCATGTGGCTCCTA